GTTTAGAGATGGTTTCACTTGTTTCTCAGGGTCACAGATGCCATTTTAAGAACACAGTTCAGTTTGTCCTTATTGCTCCTTACTGCAGTATCTAGGAGTTTGCAATAATTTCCCTGCAGTGGCTTTATGCCACACACTGCACAGATAAAACAGCACAAATTCCACTCAGTAAGTTGCTTTGGAGATTCTGAATTTCCTATTGCTCAGAACTGCTCAGTTTCATCCATTTAAAGGCTGGGGAGAGTGTTACAGGGCCTGACTGCCATCACAACACAATCCTTGGCATTTTAACAAGGCTTCTTTGACAACAAAAAGAGATGGGAATAAAGAGAACAGCATTTTCCTCATCCTAAAAGATTTTCAGAACACAGGTTTGATCAGAGGAGCGTTGGGGCAGGCCCTGAATTCAGGCTCTAGACACAAGGCACTCATTTGACAAAAGCATTTGGAGGGAGCTTTGTGCCACAAGAACACCCAGACTTTGAACCTTGAATAATTTTAGAGCTTTTAATGGCAAAATGTTAGAAAGAATGAAAAAAAAACCTTTTAGCTTTTATTAGCACAGAAGCTGAGTCAGCACTTGTGCATCTTCTAATCCTGAACTACAGTCTGGCAGTTGGCATTGAAGATCCTGTTGCCTGTTAAGAAAGAGTTATTTCTCCATTTCCAGACCACTGAGCTGGGAAGTGGCAGCAGGACCAACCTGTCTCCTTTGCACAGTGCTCCCTATTAACCTGCAGTATGAAGTCCTGAGCATGTCATTGTGGCAGAAGCCAACAGTGTTTTCAAGAGGAAAAAAAAATAATTTTCAACAGTCCTACAAGGTACTGCAAAACAGAATACTCACTTTTATTAATACTTTAAAAAAGATGTATAAAGACAACGAAAACATTGGATCACAATTTACAATCTGTACATTATAAACATGCTCACTAACTCATAGAAAAAGAACAGCAGCATACTCAATGTGATATTATCAGTCCAGACAGGGTCCTGTAACATTCAGCTGCCTGTGTAATATTTAGCACATTCTCAGATTCAGTCACAGCAAAGTGCAGCTGCAGAAAATATCCCTAAAGGGGCATTTGTCATCCAAAGCTTAGCTAAGGGAAGCCAAGACAAGGGTTCACCATAGATGTGCAGTGCCTCAGGCTGATGGGAATATCACACAAGATTTGGCTCAAACTATCTCCCATTCAAGCAGCTCAAAGAGAGGAGTATAAATGCATTATTTTTTTCCCCATGACTCTGGCTAGAGAGAAGAACCATGCAGATAGTTATGAAAAATAGCACATTTTAATTACAATCATATTCTCCACAGAGTTTTTCTACTTTGCTCTCTATTCCTTCACGTGCTATGTCAGATTCCCTGCTCTCAGGAGCAACAGAGAGACCTTCCTTCCTCCCTTCTTGCTTCCTCTCTTCTTTCATTTCTCCACTCTCTATCCTTGCTGTCAAGACTCTGCAGGCTATGAAATTTTAGCAGAGAAGTATAACTTGGTGGAAAGAACATAAAGATTGTGGGTTTGAAGTGTTTAAATTGGGGACTCTTTAAAGACCAAGTAGCAGAGTATTTGAGAGGTTAGCTGAGAGATTCTCGTTTGCACAGATCCTTGGGTCAATATTGTCAGTGCTTCCTAGCAGAAGAGATTTCAAAGAGGTTGTTGAGTTAACCCTGAACTCACTGTGAAGCAGAGAATTCCTTGCCCATTTTGTGGCATATCAAACATTCCTAGCTTTTTATCATGCCTTTTAGTTGATCTGTCTCAGACAGAAAGGCAGAAAGCTAGTCCTGACTTGATAATTGTCTCTGTACAGTTGTAAGTCCTCTCCATGTTCAGAGAGCAGAAGTAAAATTAAAAAAAAAGAGACAATTGGTTTGATGTTGCAGTCAGCAGGATGAGTATTTGGTCCACACATGACTGAGACCAGCAGCACAGACATAATGCTCTGAAATGTGTTTGTCTGTGATGGCCTAGTTATTCACAACTCTGTACCAAAGGCCACAGAAACCAGACACAGTAGTGATATCACTATCAAGTATAAAATTGAAGCTTGTACATTTACACTGCAGCTACACTTGAGAAATTAAATCCCAATCCAGGTACATGGATTGAAAGTTCTCACCTGAGACAAAGTAAAAGATTTCCAAAATTGTCACTTTGAGGATTTTTGGGGAATAAACTGAAAGCTATTTGTATGCATTTGGATTTCTGTGATAATGCAGAAAAATTCTTAATAGTTTCCCCATTGTAATTCCTTTCTTCTCACTACTTTTTTTCCCCTTCAATCTTTTTGGAGGATTCTGTATTTCTTCTCGTTACTTTTTTTTCCCTTCAATCTTTTTGGAGGATTCTGTAACAAAAGAGTGATAGAAAATATCTTTCTATCCCTTGAGACATCATTCATGATTAGCATCAAGAGACACTTGTAGATTCTTGTGGATAATCTTAAAGTATCAGACTGTTTTCTAGGAGTGATTACTCTTTCTTATGCTCCTCACCCTAATACTTCGAATCGTTACTTTTTTTTCCCTTCAATCTTTTTGGAGGATTCTGTAACAAAAGAGTGATAGAAAATATCTTTCTATCCCTTGAGACATCATTCATGATTAGCATCAAGAGACACTTGTAGATTCTTGTGGATAATCTTAAAGTATCAGACTGTTTTCTAGGAGTGATTACTCTTTCTTATGCTCCTCACCCTAATACTTCGAATCAGTCCAATACAAACAGGTGAAATCTCTAACACTGAGTTATGGATGTCCAAAATCATCAGATCAAATTTGATGGCAGTTACCACTGGCCCCATGAAACAATCAGATCTGATCTGTCACTGCTTCAGATGTGGCAGGTGCAGCAGCTTGCAGTCTGCTCCTGGATGAATCCATGATGGACTTCTACAGTGTCAATATCCTGGTGGTTCCTGGTCTCCTTTAATGGTGATCACAACATCCAGATGCTCTTTTCATCTTTGAAACTTATTTTGCTTCACTCTTCATCACTTCAGTAGGAATACAACTGGGTCATTGAACAGAATTTTAAAAGACTTTTTAAAGTTTGAACTCTATGGCTTTCAATAGTCCTTAAATTTGGTGACATTTAAATGTGGTTTTTTGGGGTTTTTTTTGCAGCTACCATGAAAATCCGCCACTGATTCATAAAGCAGCAAGAGGACAGGAAAGCACAGAGGACACCTTCCCCTCTTCTTTATGACACCTGTGAAATGATGAAAACAGTATTAGATGTGTGCCCATCAGCCTGATCATCACTCAGATCACAAAATCCTGTATTTGATGAGCTCTGTAAACACACAGCTGTGACTGGTAGGTGTCTCGAGCCTGGGAGACAGGATTCCTGACTGACACTTAAAGATTTCCTCACAGTGTTCATGTCCCTGATATCTTCCTTCCCAAGCAGGTGTGGTTATTCCACAGGACAAAGAGTTGGATGCCTGCAGAATATTAAGGACCACTATAATTTTTCATTGCTAGTCTGTGAAGCTGCTAAGGCATCTGAGTCTTCCACAACCTGTAGCCTGGTCAGTGCCACATATCTAGCCCAGTGTACATTGTGGTTAGAGCAGTGTTCATGTCCCTGATATCTTCCTTCCCAAGCAGGTGTGGTTATTCCACAGGACAAAGAGTTGGATGCCTGCAGAATATTAAGGACCACTATAATTTTTCATTGCTAGTCTGTGAAGCTGCTAAGGCATCTGAGTCTTCCACAACCTGTAGCCTGGTCAGTGCCACATATCTAGCCCAGTGTACATTGTGGTTAGAGCACTGAGAGCAGGAGTCATGCAAAGTTTGGATCATTGCATAGTTTGGGGAACCACTGGCAGCTGCAGCTGTTGCCAGGCCCATTGAAACCACAGCTCCTGCAGCTGCAATGTGTTTTCCTGCCATCTGATAGAAAGCTGCAGGGCTCTGGTGGCTCATTCTTCACTGGGATCATTTCACTGCTGCATCCTGTGTAACTGTTTTTAAGAGCAAGAGGAAGCACAGAAAACTCAGACAAAACCCTGACTTCCCATACCTGCTGCAGCTCCTTCAGTCCAGGAGCATCAAGCAAGTCAGATCCTGGTGATCAGCAAACTTACTAAGTGGCTAACAATGCAATTATTTCAAGGATGCTTGAAGCTGTGCAGGCAGTTGTGCTGAGTGGCTGAACCACACAACAATGCTGAGAACAAAGAATGCAGGAACCAGTGGTTTGCTTTGCATGCAGCACAGGTGCAGCTGCAGAGTGAGACAAGAAGCTGTTGAAGATGTGTATTAAACAGAGGAAAAGTGAAAGAGCTTACTAAAAACCAACACAAAACAATCTCTGAGGAGTAGAGAAATCATCTATTAAACATGAGAAATACACAGAGCTTTAGTTTTCTGCAACAGAAAAGAGAAGGTAAGCAGGGCAGCTGCCAGTCACTGAACTGGGCTGAACTGGGAGTTCTACAAGTCCTTATTTCTTCATGTACAACCTGCAGTTTGCCAGTGCAGGTGCCAGGGAGATGGGGGATGCAAGGTGAGTGTGGGGAAAGGGAGCCTGACCTGGCATTGCTCTGTGCTACTCTAGGGCAGCATCTCTTGCCCATGTGTGCATGCTGCTCCTGCTGCCAGGGAGCCTGGAATCCACAGCTCCTACAGAAACCAACCTGCTTCTAGCAGGGAGACAGAGTTAGTGTTACCTTTATGGGATCCTCTGAGCCTACACACTGATCCTCGAGTCCAGCTGCTGAAGGTGTTCAAGGACTCCATGGGGAATGGTGGGATTCCACATCCTGCAAGGGCAAGTTCAGAAATGAGATTTTAAGCAGCACAATTAGCTTCACAGGTTTTTGGTGTGTTTGGAATGTTTGTGGGGTTTGTTTTGTTGTTGCTGTTATTTGGGGTTTGGGGGGGTTTCTATTATTTTATTTTTTTTTAAAGCTGCCTTTCCCTTTGGCTATCATGCCATAAAAGTATTTAAGCTATGGAACAAAGAAAAAGGCATTTTGATCTAGAAAATACCCAGTTCAGTGCTCCATAGCCTTGCTGACTTTGGTTACAGGACATACTACAGCCCTGTCTCCAGAGTAGAAAGTTCTTGAACTTTCTACCAAACTCCCTCTGAATGTGCACTGGCCCCTTCAGTCTGTTTAACCTCTCCTGATGGATCCTTCAAACACAAGTCCTGCAGCACAGAGTAGGTCAGGAACTCTGGGAGGGCAGAAGATTAAGAAAGAGAGGTTTGATGTAACCATGCTTAGGGCAGGACAAGCTTTCTTGCCTGGAAGGATTAGGAACTAATCCAGCTGAAACCAGACATAACTCTAAACATCTCTGTGACTGCTTTTGCATTTTGGTGATGTCTTTTTTGTGCCTCTTATAAATCTGACAAATACAGAACACATCTTTAGCATGATTTGTAACCCACTTTTACAGAAGGAAGGTACAGCAAAGAGCCTGTCAAGAGACTTACACCAAGTTCTTTATATGAGGACATTTCCGTAGGCTGTTGGTTAGCTGCTGGGCTCCAATATCAGTGATTTTGTTATACTGAACTCTGAGGGGAAAAAACACCTTTGTTAATCCAGATCAAAATCATAAAATCATAGAATTTTAAGAGTTGGAATGGACCTTACAGATCATCTAGTCCCAACCCCCTGCCCTGGGCAGGGACACCTCCCAATAGATCAGGTTGCTCAAGGCCTCAAGAAATACTAGATAGGCTAATCTGCAGATGGGAAAAGAAAGAAAAAACCCCAAACAAACCACCCCAAAATATATTCTCGGTTCAAAAACCCCTGTAATAATACACTCAAAAGGTCAAACAGGAACTCCATTACATGAGTTCATCTGAGGGGTTCCTTTTTCTGTGTACCTGAGATCCTTTTCCAACTCCCCATGACACTCTTCTCCCACCTTAACACCATTTTTTCTTTTTTTTTTAATGGTGGACTGCTCTGTAATCCTTTGTAATCATTGACCATCTGGACTCTGTGTAAGGACATTTCCCCCTGAAATTTCCCATAAATTTTCTTCCTTGATTTCTGCCCCCTTAAAACCCAAGCAAGGAACACAAACTTTCAGTCTCCAAGGGAGTAAGCTTTCCTGGGCCATTGCAGAAGATTTCATACTTACTCTAGGACTCTCAGAGATGTCATCACAGGAAGAACTTTGGCCAGATTTTCTGCTCCAAAATCACAAATACTGTTATTGTATAAGCTGCAGAACACAGAACCAGGATAGTCACCATTGAATAATGGGAAATGTGAACAGATTAAGTATTAGATCAAGAGATTTCAGATATGGTTAGTACATCTTAACTTTTGGGCAGAGATAGCAAGGTTTGGTGTATACAACACCTCTACAGGATACAACTACTTACCTTAGTGTTCTTAACGAAGACAAGGAAGGAAGAGCTGTAGCTAGTTTCTCTGCACCCACATCTGTTATTTTATTCTGTGATAAACTACAGTAAGTGAGATGACTTTGTTAGTTGAGCACATTTATTCTATTTTTTTTTTTTACAGTGTGGGGACAATTAATTTAATAGGTTTTTAGAATATAATTTGGACAGTTTGTTTAGACCAAATGCAAAGAAAAGACAAAACATGGTCCTTGAAGGGAAATGAGGAACTGCCACAGGATTAACATATCTCTCTAATGAATGTACAGTTTAAGTATCTCCACAGACTCACTGGGCTCCCATGCCCATGGGGTAGTTGTGTCCTTAACTGTTAACACACAGTCCCTTAAGGCTCTAGGTTTAACCTATTTCTTCTCAAAATTTCCAGGACTGTTAACCTTGCACTTACTTTAATGTTTCTAGTGATGTCAGGGTTGGAAAGACTTCAGATAGACTCTTTGCTCCTTCATCTCCTATGCCATTTTCACTCAGAGCATCAAGGCTGTGTGATGACAAAGAGAGAATTAGCTCCCCTTTTCATCTCAATTTTTGTGGTTTATTCACCTCAGAGACCACTCAATCTATCCTGAAAAGCTCCTCTGCAGTAGCCTCAATCAGCATGAAGCATCACACAAATTACAGCTTCTCTAATAAGCAGCTTTCTGCTGCCCAAATTTACAGCCTAAGATTTTTTTTTTTACTAGTTGAATGGCTTGACCCATTTCCTTTGATATGCAAGATTATTAAAATGCTTATGAAATAGCTATGTTCCAGCTAAGCTGAAATGAGATTTCCTGTGCACACAGAAATACAGAACTGACAAAATCTAGCAGAAGCTGTAAATCCTTTCCTAAACAGCTCCTTCTCCAGAGAGGGAGTATTAGAAATGAAGTTTTTCTTTATATCTAGTCACAATTTTAGATACTGGATCCCCTTTTAATCTGACAGATAATGCTGGGATATATGTTGGACTCATTTCAGTTTTAGAGCTTTATTGTTTCCCCTTAAACATCAGGAAAAGGCCAAACACAGACAAATGGCCAATGGGCTGAGCCAGCAAGGCCCTCAAAACCCAATAATCTTCCCATACATATCCTGGCAGGACATTGACTATTGTCAGTACAATTGTTTCTAGTGTAAAGAAGCTTAAAATTAAGAGACATCTGGTTTGTCGTGGATAAGAACATGTGATGGAGCTTCAGTGGAGGGAGAAGTAACCCCCAGGCAGTGTGGGCCAGTGGTGGGAAGGGGGAGCAGCCTGTGGGCTCCATACTCAACCTTTCCCACCAGATTTTCCATGGAACACTGGGAAGTGAGTGAGGGGCACTGAATGAACCACCAGCACCTGTCCCAAAGAGCTCTAGAGCTTTAAGTCTACTGTTATGCTCTTGGAATGTTCTTGCTGTTGAGTTTATTCATCCAAGCAAAGATCATCCATCCAAGGCAAATCAAACATTTCTTGGGTACAAGAGCTCCTCCATCACCAAGTGCTGCTGAGGAGCTACGTTAGTGAGGTTAATCTTTAGCAGAACTCACTCTAAATGCTGAAGGGATGGAAATGCTGCAAGGATTTTCACAAGTTTTAGCAATCCCTGCAGACCACACGCTGGACCCAGCCTGGAAGAAAACACAGACATGCAGCAGTTGTCACAAAACATAAGTTATGCATAACTTAAAAAAGCTCTGAGTCTGCAGCCCCAAATCTGAGCTAGTTTACACCCCTTAGGAACAGCCATTCTCTACACCTGAGCAAGGAATTCTGCCATGAAGCCTCCAGATGAGGACACACAGGGCTGAGGTCAGGCAGGACAGAGCTGTTTGCACAGCACCAGTTGCACATACATTGGCACTTTTTTTATTCCTCTTGCAAGACTTCTCACTCATGTATTTCTGTTTGTTATCTTTTACAGGTTTCTCATTTAAAGTATGATCTTGATAACTGAGATGAAAAAAATTTTATCTTCCCTCTTCCCCCAACTAATGACAATCCAGATTGACTTAAGATCAATATTTTACTGCAGCTTAATGCACAAATTGCACTTTGATTGTTATCTATGCTCCAAGCATTTGTCCCTCAGATCCCAACCTCTTCTTTGGAGTTTCCTTGGTATCAGAACAAGCTCGGCTAGTTCCAAATATCAGAATATTAAACAAAATTTAACTAAAGGGAAATAAGAAGAGGAAAGGAGAAGAGAAAGCAGCCTAAAATCAGAAGTGGTAGCAGTGGTAGGTTGGGTTAGATCTGAAGAGCAGGAAACAGATGAAGACCTGATGAGAGTTCTCCATTGCACCATTGCAATTCCTGCCAAGACTATTTCACATGCTATGGCAGGATATTTTAAGCAATAGAATAGCCTTGGAGGCTGCTTACAGTTTGGGGGAAAAAAGAAATGTTACTAAAACCTCATCTTTAAAGTAAGTGTTTCCAAGTCAGCCCTCCTTGCAGGAGAAGGGTGCTGAACACTTGATTTGGGATTCTCTGACCTCTCTCATGGCCTAAACTCTGCTAGGGTAGAAAATTACATCAGATCATTTCTAGGGGAAAAGAAAAATGTTTTCCAGGCTATTGGATCACACAAGCTATTTTTCCACCCTGTGGCACAAGATCTACACCTGGTGGTAAAGAGTTAACTTGTAAGAGAGAACCAAATTGATAGAACTATGTTGACGTGTATCAGTGCAGCAGCCAGGAATGATGCATTAAGTTTTGGCCATAATTTAATAAATCTAGGTGAGGAAATCAAAACAAATGGGGTTTATTTAATGCTTTACCATGACCTAACTACACATCAGTTCAAGGACTGCAGCTCCTCCCCACGTGGAATCACATCCCTCAGAGAGGAGCAAGGCACTTACGCCAACTCCAGTTTTCGGAGGTTTCTGATGGCAGGAATCTCATAGCTGCTGCAACCAGATGCATCTTGCACACTAAATAAAGCACAGTAGAACCAGAATGAGCAATATTTTAGCAACCAAAATAGTGCTTTAAAATTCATTTGCTAGTAAACTTCTACAGGAAAGCAGTGCTTTAAAACTCATTTGCTAGTAAACTTCTACAGGAAATAAACCACTGTTGCATTAACTGAGGTACCAGGAACTTCAGAATAAGTTATTGCTCCAACCAGAATAAGTTATTGCTCCAACCTTTCTCCACCTGAGCAGTTCCAAGCTGATATTTGCCTTTTATAGTGCAGTCATTTGCTCTTTTCCCAATTAAACTTTAAAATACCTTCTTTTAAATCAGGTATTTTCTGTCAAACATGAAAATATCATGTGTGTATTTCAGTCAAAATACTCTGCCAATGTTAAAAATAGAAGTCACTGTTTAAAAAAAAACCCAGATTTTATGCATGTTTTTAATGGCAACCAAGCCCTTAGCCACATCCTGAGCAGGGATGAAACACAGGGTTTGTAGACCAGATAACATGAGCTTTTACCCCCTGAACTGGAGGACTGACTCAGGCCATTGGTGAGCAGTGCAAAAGAGGCTTTCATTTATGGGCCAGGTGCTGCAAGGGGAAAGTCAGCCCAAGTTTTGTAACTGAAGGCAGTTGGAAGATAGCATACTTGAGATTAAAATGAAAAAAAAATGATAGCTACTTTTCTACTAGCAGTTGGAAGATAGCATACTCGAGATTAAAATGAAAAAAAAAATGATAGCTACTTTTCTACTGGCAGTTTTGATAAATATTCTGCATGATGCTGTCAATGCTCCTCCCTGTGATGACAGCCAACACACACTGGGGTAGGAGAACACCCTGAGATGACACAAGAGTTTGTGCTGCCTTAGTTACTTCTCTTTGGACAAGCAGATAACTCCATTGTCCAGCAGACAGTGACACCCCATTTCTTAAACTGCTGGTAGAAAAGGATTTTTGATCATGAAGGAGCCTACCAATTCATCATCTTCTCTTGCATCTCTACAAGGTCTGAGAGGCCAATGATGTCCTTCATTGTCTTTGCCTTAAAGGGATGAAGAACAAATTTCTCTGTGGATGCTTTCAGCAGTTCATAGTCTTGTGCCTGCTCTAAAGATTTCCAGAGTCTGACTGTGTCACTGACCGAGGCCCTGTGAGGTGACAAAACATGCAAAATCAACAAGATGCAACTGCTGCTGTTGCAGGAAAGTCTCATCTACAAACAACTCTACTTTGTACAGAGAGTGACCAACCTGAACGATGTCACATTCTTCAGGCCAACCAAGTCCCTCAGCCCTTGCATGTCAATGTTGGTGTCTCGCAAATCTAAGGAGAACTCTTGACTTGACCTTTTTAGAACAGAGTGCAGGACGTGGACATCAGGTGGTGTAAGAACTACATCTAGGAAAGACAAGTCTGGCTTGAGCCTTAAGGCCACATGCTGCAGCAGGTAACTGTTGTGTGTTTCATAAGTACAATGGAAAAGCTCCAGCAACCTCTCTGGACAGAGATTATTGATCTGCAGCCTTTGAATGTACCTCAAGAGTGTTTTCTGGTCCTTGATTGATTGTTTTACATCCTTATTTGAAAGGGAACAGAAGTAAGGGTCATCCTGGAGAAATGACAATCCAGCAAAAAATCGAGGCACTAAATCTAACCAGTTACAAGGTTTTCTCTTCTTGGATTGAAAACACAGGTACTTTGTTCGACTCTGATCCCTGAACTCTTCTGCTAACAAGAGGTGAAGTGCACACAAGAAATTCTGAATGAGAAAATCAGAGAATGTGCTCCCAAACTCCTCTTCTTCATTATCTGAATGTCCAGGGAATGCAAATGGCAGGAAAAATCCATATTTCAGAGCAAACTCTTTAGCTTCCTTGGAAGGAAGCAGATTACTTTTCGTGGCACTTTGGTACTTTTCACCAAGACACCAGGCTGTGCGGGCCAGTGTAGCAAGACTCTCTTGATTCTGTGTGGCTGTAACATCTGTTTGCATAGCTATTATCTTCTGCTGAACAGATTTCAGAATGACTGCACTAAGGGTTGAAGGAAGGCTCTTGTCTCCCATTTCAAGCATTGTCTCACAGTGGAAGCAAACCAGTCTACACATAACAGGGCTGTAACAGTGACTGAACAGGTACTCATGCTCTTTGATTAGCTTCAGTGCACTATCACAGTAGGGTAATCCCTCAAAGTATTTGGTTATGTACAGTTCTCTCTGCTGAGGGGAAAATCCTATTATTTCAATAGTCTTATCCACTTTGGTCACATAGTGGTACACCTTGTCTTTTGGTCTGGCTGTAAATAATAAAGTACAGCCATTGAGTATCTTTTTCTGGATGAGTCCTGAAAGTAGCTCCTTTATACTGCACAAATCTGTTTCAAGCTGCCTGGCCAAGCAACGAGCAAAACTCTCATGATCATGCAATCCTTTAAAACCATCAAACACCAGAAGAACTTTAGCAGGATTTTGCAATATATACTCAAAGATCTCTTCACTTCCCTCTTGAGGTTTTACAAAAAATTCAAGCAGCAGTTCCTTCAGGGTGTATCTCCTCTGAGGCAAACTTATTTGCTTGCAGTCAAACCAAAACACAAATTCAAACTGAGAAAACTCTCCATTGGACCAGTCCTGGCAGATCTTCTGAACAAGAATGCTTTT